TAGGGTTTTCGTGATTTGCGACTGTTGGGCTGGCAGGGATTCCGTCTTGACATCGTGCGAAGTGCTGGCATGCGAAACGGTTTAAGGTTTAGGGTTTAGGGTTTAGGGTTTAGGGTTTAGGGTTGTCCGTACATGCTATCCCAGACGAATCTGCGCAGGAATAAGCAACACCTCGTCTGGGCGTACAATGCGTGATGTGTCGACCAAACCGCCGAGTCAACCATAAACCTATGAGTGTAGGGTTTATAAGGTTTATATAAGGTTTTTGTTTGAGCATGAAGGTGGAGGGTTTCATAGTTTAGAAGGGGTCCTAAACCCTAAACCGTAAACCGCAGTTTAGTGAATCCCAGAATCCCATGCCATCCAAGGAAGCACGGTAGGATCGCCATGTTGGCGTTCGTCGGCCTCGTTGTGCCGGAGGTCGTGCGTATCCCAGGCCTTCGCGGAAGGTCTTTAGGGTTGTAAGTTCTTTCATAATTATAGGTTTTAGGGCTCCATGCGTGGGCATGCACGGAGCCAGACATGCTTGCATGTCTTCACTGTTCTTGCTGTCGTTGTTGGTATTGTTGTTATTGTTGCTGTTGATGTAAAAATTATGCAATCTTTGCATCGCACATGCATGGTTTGCTATATTCATCTGTTGTATAGATCTTGCTGGCGATTTTGGTTTTGCTGCTGCTGGCTTACATTCTCATTGCCTACATTGCACTCCCCCCAAATGCACTGCACAGATGATAGGAAAACAGTATTGTTATTTGCCTGTTTCTTACCTTCATCTTCTGCTAGTTTAAAACAATATTTCAACGAATCAACGTTAGAGCCTAATTTCTTTAACCCCTTCTACTAAGCCCCCTAAGTTGCTTGGTTAATTTTCGAAATTCTACCAACCACCTACAACCATTTGCAACACCCGAAACATTCAAGCACTGTTACCACTACTACTACTACTACNNACGACGACGACTGCGACTACGACTACAACGACGGCAACGACGGCTGCTACTACCATTGTTGCTACTACTACTACTACTACTACTACGACGACGACTGCGACTACGACTACAACGACGGCAACGACGGCTGCTACTACCATTGTTGCTACTACTACTACTACTACTACTACTACTACTACCACCACCAGCTTGGCTTTTCGCACGTTTTCGAAAGGCCCAGATGCCTGCTATGCAGCCAAGAGCATCGTGGAAGCCTCCAGCTTAGTGCTGGTCTTGACGAGAACTGTACTTTACAGTTTCTGTCCGAGTTTTGTTCGGGTTTGGGGTCGCTTTGTTGCTACGGTTCAGGATTTTATGATTGCCTTTTTCACGGCCCTTTCAAGGGAAACTTACGGCCAACCGTACGACCTTATGCCACCCCGAGCCCTTAACCGTACTACTCGAATCGCAACTCTAGTGGTAACTTGCGTTAACCTGTCTAAAGGGACCGCTAGGGTCATTTAATAGAGCTTGTATGGTATTTTTTTGAGTTTTTGCAACGGAGCAGCCCACAGCGAATATTGCAGGGGAGCTTTCACCCCGAATAAGGAAGCCTAAATAACTACCAATATTGTTCCTTCGGGTTCTTCAGTATAAGTATATACCACCAAAACACTGTTCTAACAAATGCCCTTGAACTAAAATGCGCAGACTGAGGCCCACAACGCCTGCGTCGGCAACCCGCCCTTCCCATTCCTCGTGAACGCAGAGGAGAAGCTTTAGCTCGGGCGAATTAGAATCGGGGCCTGAAAAATAAGACTAACCTTTGTGAGGTTGAGAGTATATTATATAATCAAGATATGACGAAGAAGGTTCTTCCGAACCACAGGGGCGTACCCTAGTGGCAATTTTCTGGCTTAGTGCATTAGGTTGTAGGGTTTTGGCCGTTCAACACCAGAAATAGTTTGTAAAACTCTACAACATTTGCTACAGGAAAACCGTTGAATTACCGAGATCAATAGTGCAAAAGCCCTAGACCCTACTAAATCCTACGTCTTACAGCCTGAACCTAAGGAATTCTAAATGCTAGACCCTGAACCCCAAAACGAGGCGAATTTAGGGTAGTATTAGGGAGACCCCTTAAAGGGGACCCTTCTGAACCCTGCTTCTGGCTCTCTTATAAGGGACCTTATTGAGAGGGTCCATATCCCCAAAAGGGTCCCCCTAATCCTAACTCCCACCGAACAACTTCAAGTCCTCTTGCTGAGTTGCTCGGAGGATTTCTTCGGCACCGACAGACAGCAGGGTCCTCTCTTCCAGGCGGGTTCAGGGTTGGGGGGTTTCAGGGTGTCGGGTCTTCACGGGTGTTCAGGAAATATATATGCTTTTTTCGTTTGGTTCAGATAGTTCAGAAGGATTCTGTCAGATTTTGCAAGAGGGTCTTGCGCGTTCTTGTTATACAGGGTCATGAGGCGTCCCTTAAGGGCTCTGAATGATTAGCAATAGTATTCCAGGCAGGGCCATGTGCATTTGCCTGAACATGGAACCCTCCTGAAATGGCGCCTGTAAAGGAACCTTAAGCACATAGCGGATTATCGCCGTGCGGTTGTATGTGCAGAAACAGTCAGCCCACGCCGTAGTTCCTCAACCCCCCGACCTTTTATTAACATACCCTAGACCCTAAAAGCCAAAACCCCAAACCCGAAACCCAAAACCCAAAACACGTAAGTTTTTCGACTTAGGGACGGCTTCACCCCTGGCCATACCGCTGATAACCTAAAGCCCCAACTCCACAAACTCTCAATCCCAAACGACCCTGGTTTGGAGTTTTGGGGTTTAGGGTTTAGGGCTTAAGGTGAACCTCAAGCCCACATGACCCCTACAAAAAGGTCTATGCCTTCGCCGGCGTTGTCGAGATGCTGACCACCTTCGCCAAGGCTTTCCCAGGGTCCTCAGTGCTTTCGCTTGGTTCAGGGGTTTGAAGTTTTCGAACCCTAAACCCTAAAGGCCCTAAACCCTAAACCCTTCGGTTTAGGGCTGATGGGGATCTCTGAGCGTCGTTTTACGGTTTCGGGTTCGGGGTAAGCCCCGTAGGGCTTGTGGGAGGTCTGACTTGGGAGGTTTTCTGTACCAACTTGTCCATGAGGCCCCGGATTCTTGGTTCGGGAGGCAGGGTTTAAGGGTTCAGGGCTTAGACTTGAAGCTCTAAATCCTAAAACCCTCAACCCTAGACCCCAGGTTTAAGGAGTGGGGCGCAGGATTTACTCCAAACGAAGGTCTCAGTCGCCGGAGCTCACCAGCAAAGCTGGCTGGCGTAGATCTGGAACACAGAGCCCAGAGGCGTTGAAGCCTTAAACCCTAAACCCCTAAACCCTAAACCCTAAACCCTAAACCCTAAACCCCTAAACCCGAAACCTTGACCCAAACCATGGACCTTAGGCCCTGAACCCTAAACCCTAAACCTTAAACCCTAGACCCTAAACCCGAAACCCTAAACCCTAAACCACTGTAAACCCTGGACCTTGGTGTCTGGGTTGGGTTGGGTCCACACTGAAGCCCGATCTTGCACCGCCGGTGCGCTGGAAACGGCGGAAAAAGTAGTGTTTGGGGTTTGGGTTTAGGGGTTGAGGGGTTTGGGGATTTTAGGGGTTTGGGTTTAGGGGTTTAGGGGTTTTGGGGTTTTGGGGTTTTGGGGTTCAGGGTTTAGGGTTTAGGATCCCGCCCGCAGAAATCACACGAGTCTTTACTCAGGAGGTTTCAGGGACAGCGGACAGCTATCCCTAAACTTCTGCAGCCTAGAAATCCCGAGATCCCTACACTTTTATGAAGGACTCTTCAAAGGAGACCTAGCAGGATGCCTTGAACGAGCCCCAAACGCCTACAGCGAAGCACCCCCCCTTCTCAGACCTGCAACGTCTCGAACAAGCCTGGCCTCACCCTTGAAAATGCGGGTCGCGGCCCCGGTTCCTTTTGGGGTGATTAAAAGGGTTCTCTCAGGGCAGAAGGCTTCGTATGCGCCAGCTTTGACGGCGAATAAAGATTAGGGTTTAGGGTTTCGGAGTTTAGGGGTGTAGGGCTGGGGGGTTGAGGGGTTTAGAGTTTGGGGGCCGGGCCTAGGATCCCCGACATGAGCTTGGCCATGTCCCTTATGCTGACTGTGTGGGAGTGCTGGGAGTGACAAGCATGTGACGCATGATATCGGGGCCTAAATCATTACCTTTACTTTTTCTGGGGGTTCCTTCCGAAAAACCCTATTCTAATTATTAAGGGCCCCATATTAAGTTAGAGCACCGCGAGCAGTCCGTTTTAACCGGGAAAGCAGACAACGCGATGCACGACGGAGCCGGGACTGAAAAGCTAGTTTTTTGTGAGTTCCGGCCTCTACGACTGCGAGAGCTGGGGTGCTCGGTCCGATGCAAACACACACAGTTTAGGGTTTAGGGTTTAGGGTTTAGGGTTTAAGGTTT